TTTGCTGTTGTAACTCGTTATCCTCATTTCATTAAGAGATGTTATAGATACTGATGGCTGTAGGCAGGAAGGATCTCTTGTAAAGGTCCATCCCACAGTGGATCCTAAGAAACTGGCTGCAGATGCCGTCCGATCCGTCCACCCAGACTCGGCTGGCCTCTCGGTTCCCCTGGTCTGTAGGACCGCTTGAATGCTGGGCAGAACTCCTCCCAGAGCGATGGCCACTCCTCCCAGCAGTCTGCTGAGCTCCTCATAGCTGTGGACAGTCAACTGTAGGTGCTGAGGGATGATCCTGTCTATCTGCTGTCGTGAGCCGTGTTTCCTGCTAGTTCCAGGATCTCAGTGATCAGGCACTCGAGCACAGCTGGCAGGTAGATGAGAATGCGTCCACAGAACATCCTTTTCAACTCATTTGAGAGTTGGGCCCATAGTTGAGATATTGAGCTTTTGAGATGTTATTCAGCTGCTGTTGTTGTAGAAAACTGCCTTGTTGCCATGGTTACGCATCATAACAAATGTCCAAAACCAAGAAAGTTTCAGTAAAAATCCTTCCGGCTGCACAGCATCTGATACCAGAGGAAACAATCATCCAAAAAAATGTGATTTACATCCAGAAAACCAGGAATTAAAGTTTCCAAAAGCAAAATCTCAGAATGAAAGTAACAGAGCTGCTCCAACATGCAGCCACCTTGAGCGGCGCAATTCTAGAACAATAAGTAAGTATAAGTAATATGTAGGGAGGCCCAGACTTTCCTCAACCTAGACACTTGGGCCAGCTCCTCCAGGGGAATCCCAAGGCGTTGCCAGGCCAGCCGAGAAACATAGTCCCTCCAGCTTGTCTTGGGTCTTCCTCTGGGTCTCCTCCCGGTGGGATGTGTTTTCCCTCATTCGTGAACAAGACCCCGAGATACTTGAACTCCTCCACTTGGGGCAGGACCTCCTCCCCGACCCGCAGAGGGCACTCTACCCTTTTCTGACTCAAGACCATGGCCTCGGATTTGGAGGAACTGATCCTCATCCCGGCCGCGTCACACTCTGCTGCGAACTGCTCCAGCGAAAGCTGTGGATCACAACTTGAAGAAGCCAATAGGACCACATCATCTGCAAAAAAAAACAGAGAATCAATCCTAAGGCCACCAAAACGGATCCCCTCAACACCTTGGCTGCACCTAGAAATTCTGTCCATAAAAGTTATGAACAGAATCGGTGACAAAGTTCAACCGTCCAACTCTTCAAAGTCCAACTCTCACTGGGAACAAGCCCGACTTACTGCCGGCAATGCGGACCAAGCTCTGACACCGGTCGTACAGGGACCCAACAGCCCGTTTCAAAGGGCCTGGTACGCCATACTCCCAGAGTACGGCTCCCCGAGGGACGCGGTCGAATGCCTTCTCCAAGTCCACAAAGCACATGTAGACTGGTTGGGCAAACTTCCACGCACCCTCCAGGACCCTGCTGAGCGTGTAGAGCTGGTCCAGTGTTCCACGACCAGGACAAACACCGCACTGCTCCTCCTGAATCCGAGGTTCGACTGTCCGATGGACCCTCCTCTCCAGAACCCCTGAATAGACCTTACCAGGGAGGCTTAAGAGTGTGATCCCCCTGTAGTTGGAACACACTCTACGGTCCCCCTTTTTGAATGGGGGACCACCACCCCAGTCTGCCAATTCAGGGGAACTGCCCCCGATGTCTCAATATTGCAATATTGCAGAGTCATGTAAGCCAACACAACCCCACAACATCCAGAGCCTTTAGGAACTTGGGGCGAATCTCATCCACCCCTGGGGCCTTGCCACCAAGGAGCTTTTTAACCACCTCAGTGACCTCAGCACCAGAGATTGTAGAGCCCAACCCAAAGTCCCCAGGCTCCACTTCCTCAGTGGAAGACATGCCGGTGGGATTGAGGAGGTCTTTGAAGTACTCTGCCCACTGACCCTCGACATCCCGAGTTGAGGTCAGCAGCATACCACTTCCACCATAAATAGTGTTTGGCGTACCGCTTTCCCCCCCTGAGACGCCGGATGGTGGACCAGAATCGTGCCTCAAAGCCGTACAGAAGTCATTCTCCATGGCCTCTCCAAACTCCTTGCACACCCGGATTTTTGCCTCAGTGACCACCCAAGCCGCATGCCACTTGGACTGCCGGTACCCTTCAGCTGCTTCCTTGGTCCCACAAGCAAAAAGGCCTGATAAGACTTCTTCTTAAGCCTGACACCATCCCAACAGCATCCCTCACCGCCGGTGTCCACCACCGGGTTCGAGGGTTACAGCTGCGACAGGCACCGAGAACCTTGCAGCCATAGCTCCGATAAGCCGCCTTGACAATAGAGGCGCGGAACATGGCCCAC